GACCCGCTCTCCGAGTCTCCCGTGCGGCCCTTCGCTCTCCGTGGGGCCAGAGCTGGAGCCGTTCGCCGTGCTGGCCTGCCGGGTGTCTTACGACAGACGGGTTGCTTCGCTTTCGGACTGAAATTTTCCTGAAGGAGTTTTTGAGACTGTTAGTCCGGAGGGTTTTTTCTCAGCTGCTGGATGTGTCGTTACGACTCTCCAAAGCCCAGTTAGAAGCAACCCAGAGAGGTTTGATAGCTGTTTTTGTTTCAAACTGTAGACAAAAATGGGAAATAAAATGTGGAGGAAATAACGGGGCTTCTTTACTTTGCCACCAAAGCAATGTGATGAGCTTCCCGCACGCTCTGCCGTGGCCGGAGCCCCGCTAAGACCTCGCCCTCGCTCGGCCGCGCGCGCGTGCCGCTGTGTGTGCTCGGGCAGTGGGCAGGGGACAAGGATCGGAAGGAGATACATATTGTTCCCCCGGGGCCCTTTTAGCCTATGTTGTTATATCATGTTCTAGAAACTCCAAGCCAGTTTTGCTACTTATTCCTTTCATGTTATACAGTACTTTCGGTAAGGAACGTTTGTTTCTCCCCATGGAAAACCAAGAAGGAGTAAATTCCTGAGCATACTTGCACAGGTGAAATCAATGACACCTTTAAAATGTTGGAATTGGACTTGATTTTAAAGAAGGAGCCTAAGGAAGTCAGTCAGGCGCGTATTCAGAGGAACAAAGTCGAGTGTCACAGAGATAAAATGCGACTGTGTGTGTGTGAAGACAAGCCAGACCCTCGGCGTAATCAGCCAGGAAACTTCCGTGATTGCGGTAGGCGGCAGCTGCCGGGCAGATCCGTGAAGATGGGGTGATGTCGGTGTCAACCCCACCTGGGTTTATCGGCTGTCGGGAGCTGGGCACCCGCTCGCTGAGGGCAGTCTCCGTTGTCTGAGGTCCTGCGGGAATATTTTGCTGGGTTCTGAAGAGTTTCACGAGAGGCACCAGGACAGCAGCTGACCTTCCTCAAGGACGCTTGGTGCTCTGCCTGGGCTGTTTTGAGCCACAGAGCGCCACCCCCTTTCTCCGAGTGACAATGACTTTAAACCCGAGGCCTCCGCTTTTTCATCTTCCACTTTTCCAGGAGGCGTAGAGATGTGGCATCGAAGGACTTTTGAGGATGCGTCAATCTGTAAAGTTATGATTTGCATACATTTAGTGTATTTATCACAATTCAGTAGAAAATGTTTCTTTAGAAAAAGCTGTACGAAGAGTAATCCTTTCTTGATGTAATTTACTACACTTCATTCCTAGAGGAAAGGATCATGTGATACATCTGATAAGCAGTTAACATCCAAAAAATTATAAATAACTCATAAAACTCAACACCAAAAACACAAACGATCCAATTAAAAAGTGTTCAGAGGACGTGAATAGGTATTTTTCCAAAGAGGACATACTGATGGCCAAGAGACATGTGAAAAGATGCTCAAGGTCACTAATCGTCAGAGAAATGCAAATTAAAACCGCAATGAGATATCACCTCACACCTGTCAGAATGGCCGTCGTCAATAAATCAAAAAGCAGCCAGTGCTGGTGAGGACGTGGAGAAGAGGGTGCCCTCGTGCCCTGTGGGGAGGACGGCGAACGGGAGCCACCACCGTGGAAAACAGTGAGGAGGTCCTCAAGGAATGAAAAACAAAACCACCTTATGACCCAGCCATTGCACTTCTGGGTATTTATCAAAAGAAAACCAAAACACTAATTCAAAAAGGCGTATGCACTGCCACGTTCACCGCAGCGCTACTCACAACAGCCCAGATCCAGAAGCCACCTAAGTGCCCATCGACAGACAGTTGGATAAAGAAGCTGCGGTACATATATACAATGGAATATTACTCAGCCGTAAAAAAGATGAAAGCTTAGCATTCGCAATAACATGGATGGACCTAGAAGGTATTATTCTAAGTGAAATAAGTCAGACAGAGAAAGTCACGTGCCATATGATCTCACTTATATGTGAGATCTGAAAAATAAAACACATGAATAGACAGAACAGAAACAGACTCATGGATACAGAGAACACACAGGTGGTCACCAGATGGGAGGTGGGCTGGGGGGCTAGGTGAAAAAGGGGAAGAGATGAAGAGGTACAATCGGCGGTTACGAAATAGTCACGGGAACGTGGAGCACGGCCCAGGGAATGTGGTCAGTAACATTGCAATAACCATGTGAGGTGCCGGGCGGGGACGAGAGCCATCTGGGGGTCACTTCGCGAGTTTATACGTGTCTAACCTGAAACTAATATACAATAATTAAAAATTAAAAAAAATACTACGAGTGGCATGGAATTGGTCCCGCTTTAGGTCCCATCATGACATAAAGAAGTGTACGAGTCCTGAGTATAATAGGTATCACTTTCCGAAACGTAGCTGTTTACCCGTAAAATGATGAAAATAACGCCAGCTTTATAAAACTCCATAAAATCATGTGCATATTTCCCACAATATGGCACATAAGAAATTCTTTAAAAACCGTCGCTATCATCACCGACTCGGGTAATGCGGATTGCCTATGGCTCGCTCGCTCACTTGGTCACTCGGCCACGACGTGTCAGGTGCGGCTGCAGTGACAGCAGGTGATCTCGCTGTGAGTTCAGTCCCAGGTGGGTAAACGCAATAAGATAACGTTTTAAGCGTTTCCTTTCATATATTTTTTTCTTCTAGACATTTCCTTTTTATTCTGCGTTCTGTACGTCATGAAAACTTGACCATTAATAGCAATAAAATGCAAGTGTACTAAACTCACCAGTTAAAAAATTAGAGCTTGTCAAACTGCATTTTAAAATAATTCAGTCACGTGCTATTGCCAAGAGCTACCCCTAAATCACAGGACAAAGGAAGATTGCAAATGATCTACCAGGCCAATAATAAGCAAAGAACGTTGGTGTATCTGTAGTAATACCAGACCCATCATATAATATTAAAATAAAACACCCCCCTCCAGTGTATTAAGAACATATGTGCATGTCATAAATGTATAAAAAAATGACTAACTGACAACGGGTTACCTGGAGATGGGGGTAGGGGTTGAGACTGGAGAAGTATATAAAAGTATCTTCAACTTTATTGATAATTCTTTTTTATTATTCTAAACTGAGTGGTGGGTACACAGGTATTTGATATAATTTCATCATATAGGTTCCATGTTGAAAAAAGTTCATAACCATCAAAAAACACTCTCCCCAAATCTTATTACAAACAACTTTCAGTGACACAGAGCTGTCCATCACAGGACACTGTACACTAACCCTAACCCTGCAGGGGGGAGAGCGTGGTTTCAGGAGGCTTGGAAGCATTCTCCGAGGGAAGGTAGGTGTCCTGACCCGCAAGATGCTGGGCGAACAAGTTGCTTATGCTCAGATTTGTCCTCTGTAGGGATGAAATAATGCCCGCGTATTGTTATACTGTGAGCTCCCGGCAAGGGAGTCGTGAGTATTCCAAGAAACAATGAATGCAGGTGAAGTACTTGGTACATAGTAGGTGTTCAATGAATTCCATCAAAATCTTCCTGAAAATGAACTCCTGATATAAGAAAAGTGAGATAAAACAAGAGAAATGAGATATCATTACTCCCCAAACTCCGGGAGGCCGAGACGCCCTGCTCAGCACTGTGCAAGCCCCTGCCTGTCTCCCAGCCCCTCACCTGCCTCACGCCTGGTGCTCCTGGGCGCTCACTCAGCATCTGGAGAACGCCGGAGACATGCTAGTGTTTCGAAAGTCAGCGTAGACAAATCATATAAACACTGAAAATAAATGGATCGGTTTTGGCTCTCTTGTTGGAAACTAGCGAGATCCTAACCAGGGGTCATGTTTGCCAACGATGCCTGACTTAGCTGGCGCATCCGCGCTTGACCGCGGCGATGATGTTAACCGTGTTTTTTTCACTTTGCAAAGGTTTCCTGTCAGCACTTGCGTTTCTGTCACTCAAATGAGTAAGGGACGGCGACACTGATCTGAGCTGGATGATCACACGACGCCTTCCCCTTCATCTTACGCACGTTTCTAACGAAAACCGAAGCAGGCCATTCATTCTCCTGTCCTGCTGATTTCCTGCGGGGCGGCGAGCAGGGCCAGGGCGGAGATTAGGGGTTTCACAAAACTCCGGGGAGCACTGCCCATCACTGATTTCCTGGGCTTTTTGACGGGGGCAGGCTGCGCTCCCACTGCCAGCCTCGGCGGAGGGAGAAGGACCGAGGTGACCGGGAGGAGGCCCGCGCGCACCCCGCGCCTAAAAAAAAAGGAGCTGCTCGGCTCCTCCCGCCGCGGGGCGGGCGTCGCATCCCGAGCTGAACCGAGGCAGGTCCGCGCCTGGTAGAGCGCGCACCACTCATCCAGCAAGGAGGGGGGCGGCGACCCATCCCTTAGGGATTGGTCCGGTGTCCTCGCGGTGACTTCCGGGCACGGGGAGGCCCCAGGGGGCGCGGACTTCAGCCGGGCTGTGTCCTCCCTACGTCTCAGTTGCAGCGGAGAGGCCGGGGCAGCCCCCTGCAGGG